ATTGACAAAGATGCTGGTAACTCCAATGATCATGTTTGCCCTATTTTCTACCAAGTAACCAAGATCTCAAAATAAACATGCAACTTCAGGGACATATCAATTTAATTTGTATTAAGTACTACTAGGTAAAGCACAAGCTGACTTACTCCATCGCCTAGTTGCTTTGAGTCTTTCCTGAAAGGAAAGAAACAAGTTGAGAACATAACCATCACAGAGGGCTACATTCTGCAAACTATTATTACCTCACAGGAATAAATCTCCACTGGTTACAAACACTGTTCATAACCACTGCTAATATTTAGTCACAAAGTCACAATAGTCACAAAGTTGACTCAACTGTCTGAGTTGAATGTCAAAATTGCTTCCCTACCCACCCCTAGTATTAGTGCTTCCTAGTTTTTCTATGGTCTTCTTTCTTTTTCCTGGTTATTGATTGGTTTAACAAACATTATGTTTGCTGTGAGTGATGAACAACAAGCTTAAAGCAGCATCCCAAAGCAGTACTTTCAACTGCCAATCAATTAAAATCTTCTGCAAACTTTAAAATGTACCTGTCATCCGCAATAATAATGAACTGCTTTGCACAAGATGCTACAATTTTCTCTTGGGTTAAACAGCCTCTGAACAAAGACAGATTAAGAAAGATTTGCAATTAAAAAACTCATCATGATAAAGCAAATACATGTAAGGCAGAAACATGCATGTTATGCATAAAGTGCAAGAGAAAAATAACATTTCAAAAAATGGTGTACCCTCCTCCTTTGATTGCAGTTAGGTCAGAATCCACATCATCAGCCCCATCAATAGCAACATCTAGCTGAAAATAAAACAAAGCCCATGTGATCTCAAAAAAATATTGCTCTTCATTCTACTTAAAAGTTATAGTCATTATCTTGAATTTGATAATCTATCCTCTGACAAAATCTTGTGGACTTGGACTGAGATTAAAACTCAACTAAATAATAATTATTACTACCTTTATAAGTACCATGTACCTGTAGGCTGACAGAGCACTAGTACAGCTCATAGTCTAGCCTTCACACACTCTGCATGCCTACAATATTCAATAAATTATTGACTTCCCTATGCTGTTATTTCAGATGTTCCATCTTACCTCAGGTTGTCTGTCAAGATCAGTGAGAATCAATTTGTGTTGTGTGATTAGCTGTTGGGCCTACATGACAATGATCGAAACACATGAAATTGAATGAATCATGCCAGTGGCAAAATGTACAGAAGATAAGGGGACTGATGACTTATTTTGTATATTTATAATTATCATCATGACTTGATACTACCTGTAAGGTAATTTGTTTCAGTTATATTTACAACAAAATCTTTGTTTTGAACGAGTCATTTTAATTTTAGTATACATGTTCACATTTAAACGAGCCCCAGGCTCACTGGTGAAATGTGTCTAAATAAAGTACTTACTTACTTACTTACTTACTATGTACAATAATAACGGAATGGTGTAAAATAATTTATGTTAATTTATACATTAATTTATTATAATTGTAATAATTGTGTTCTAATTCAAAATAAATATGCATCAGCATGTGAACAAAATTCAGTACTACATGTAGTTACAGGTCTATTTAAGTCTAAATAAAGCAATTTGGTTACAAAGAATAGTACAAAGAAAGAAAAAACTCGTTAAAAAATGTGGGCTTAACAATCACTTACCTGAAATGATGATGGAACACACAATAAATTTAAATTCTCTTCTTTCACTCTTTCAGCTGCAAATGAAGCAAAATGTCTACATTCAGTTGCATTAAGGTGGCTCCATAGGGTAATCATTTATGGCATTGCACACGCAAGTGTTATGCATTGAATGCTGTTTTTACATTCGCCTTCACACCCAGTCCTCTCAAACTTATTTACATGTAACAAACAATGATTAAATAGTGTTTTACTATCATCTGTTGAAATTCTGGGCTTAAATTTTGAAATATAAATGCCCAAACAAATGTGTTTTTTACTGTTTTTATGGCTTTGTGTTTTTCTTGAATTTCCGTTGGTGAAATCTTACAAAATTTTTACAGCACATCGCTTCCAGCTGGATACAAATTTTAAACACACAAAAAGTAGGCTTTGTAAAGGCAGTTTTTTCGATTTTCTCAAATTTGTGTCCTTTACCACTGCAAAAAGTCTGGTCTTACAGATCTCCCTGAAAAACGAGTTCCGACTAAAGTGAAATATTTACTACCAATCTGCCAAATTTTACGGAATTTCACTGAAGGAAACACAAGAAAATTCACTGTCAGTTTTGCTTTTTGTGCTCATGTTCAGTTGATGTCATGAAATATCCAAAAACATTGATGTTTTTCTTCGAACATGCACAGCCTACTTAATGAGCTTTTGTCCTCAGTGTGCATATGATCATAAAACTACAGGGAGCCACCTTAAAAATAGGATTGCACAAACAAAACAATAATTGTATAGTGATGAAAGGAGACCTCATTTGTTCCAGTATATGTACACAGGATGTCATGCCTCCCACCAACCCAATAATATTAGGGACTCAACTCAAATGACGATGGCAACAGCAATGAGAATACCACCAAACAAAAGAATTGATCAGAATCAATACTGACAATAAAGGGCTGTCATTAAGGGCCATAACCTGTGACACCTGACACGAATGAGTATGAATGATAAATATTGCCTTTTGTTGATACACTTCACTCACAAAGTAACATGTTTGTTACAGGTGTAACAATCAAGGCTACAGGTGATTCAAAACTCAATGACAGCCCTGCAAAAGCTAAATGCATGTGCCTCATCAGTTTAAGTGCATTTCTTTATCTCCCTCCTCTGCAATACAACAACGTGTGGTGACCTTGATAGTCTGGAGAAAATGAACCGTAATGGAAAAGTAATATGCTCATCAGGCACAGATTAGATTTAACACTGATGAACACACTAGATAAAGTTACTTATTAAGTGTCAGATCATTAAGTAAAATATAAAGTTAATATTTTTACTCAAAGTGGACTGCTTTGATAGCATCCCTTTTTACAGTGGAACTCCACTTTATGGACACCTGCTAATATGAACAGTTTTGCCTGTCCAGCACACTGTCTCTCACATTAGTCCACTCAATTTTGACACCAGTTAATACAGACAAAAGACACTCTAATGTAATTCAAGTGACTAGCTCTTGTCTCATACAAAGACATCTATGCCAACTCTCTCTGATTATCTGGGAGTCTTCCCAATAGAGACGGAATCTCCTGCTCTCACATACAGTTCAACAAATCTCCTGAACAATATAAAGGAAAGCACATAAAATACATCTTTCAGACATATTCTGCCAATTTTTCACATATGTTTGGGAAACATTTTGGATATTTGAGGCATATTTTTGTGGTTAAATTGGCAGAGTTTTACTTTGAACAACTTTTTTCGGGCTGTCACTTAGGTAAAATTGGAATTATCTCGCAGATTTTGATATTTTTAGGTTGGCATCT